GTTTTAAGAAGACATTTTAAGAAGTACATTCAAAAATCAAGGCAAACATTCACTTTCTTCATACGATGGAGCCTGCAGAGCTGGTCCCCTGAGTCAAGTAGAAATCGAATGTAGCTCAGCTCCACAGTCCACGAGGAAGCCAGCAAATGCTGCCCTTATAAGGAAGCAGAGAGTGGCAGGACCCAGAACACCCACTACATAAAATAACTTAACTGGCTCCCACACTTCATTAAATTCACATCTTTGAAATAGAAAAAAAAATTCCTACACATACAGACATAAACTTTTGTCCAACGACAGTAACAGACAGACAGATTTTCTTAATACCTGTCCTAAACTCTACCAAGTGGCTAAGGCAATGTCTGTGTTCAGGCTTCCCACCAGGAAAGGGTTTTAGTTTGGGAATGGAATGGAGGACGTAGAATGTGACAAATAAGAAACTCTATAACACCAGGCAACGAAGAGTGGTTTTTTTTTGTTTGTTTGTTTTTTAAGAGAGTTCAAAAGGAAAAGTAATTAACACTCTTTCTAAAGGTTTAAGTCAAGATGTGTTTCTCCATCATAGAATATGGCTGAGACAGAAACTTAAGGGAATCTGTATAACCTTGCAGATAATCGAAGGAGCGAAGCTGGCCGACGCTCGAGAAGAGTTCCTTTGTTAAAAAATGAAAGATGGGGCTGGGGGCAGAAGGATGTAACCCCTTTAATCTCACACTCAGAGGCTGAGCTCAAGGACAGTTAACTTCCCCACATTCCGCATCTCATCCTACGAACGGAAACTGCTTTCCCTCCTCTGCTGAAGAAATGCTAACGTTAGGGCGGAATCAGAAGCCGTTCTTCAGAACGGCAACAAGGCCAGTCTTGATCCAGAAATCAGAGCAAACTAGAGCTTTGGGGTCTAAACCATCCAGGAAAAGAACAACGAGAAGATGAAGCAGGAGAAAAAGGTTGGAGTGTCCCAGGAGATACCCATGCTGATGAAGAGAGGCAAGGTCGATGGGAAGCTTCAGAGTTGCCCAATCAGAAGGCTGCACATCCATCACTGCTTAAGTGAAGGCAGAAACCAGGCGGCAAGGCTGTATATGCCAATGTGCTTCGGAAAGAAAACTAACGATGAATCTGCCCTGTCTTGTTCATCTATCCAGGATCCCTTATGTGTGGAGACCTTCCCTCAACCCTTCTCCAGCAACATGATCCATGAGGAGAGAAAAACGGTTTTCAAAACTTTCTGATGAAGTCCAACACAGTTGGAGGGCAAACATTTAAGATACTTTCCCTTTGAAAACATAGAGAAGACCGGAGTTAGGAGTCGGGCGGTGGTGGCATATGCCTTAAATCCCAGCACTTGGGAGGCAAAGGCAGGTGGATCTCTGCGTTAAGGCCAGCCTGGTCTACAGACTGAGTTCCAGGATGGTCAGGGCTACACTAAGAAACCCTGTCTCAACACCCTCCACTGCTGGAAAAAAAGACAGGAGTTAGTAAGTGCATGAAGCTCACTTCCAAAAATGCTTAAAGTTAAAAAAAAAATGCTTAAAGTTGAATTGTCTTTGAAGGGTTTTAGAGACAGATTTTAATGTGCTTTCAACACACTACAGGGTCTATTTTTTTCCAGTCTTTGGAATTTAAAGGTCTCCCAGCGGCAAGGGAACATCAGATTTGCTATCTCTAGAAGACCTAGTACGATGCTACTGAGAGGAATTCCACAGAAGTCTACAGAGCAATCCCCAGAACCTGTGAGACTCTTACAATACATGACAAAAGAAACTTGGCAGACATGGTTCGTCAAGGACATCATCTTTGATCATGAAGGCCAGACAGTCTAACCAAATGAATACTCAGAACTGAAGAACCTTTCTTTTGGGGGGTCAGAAAAAGGGGAGGAGAGGGGCTACGTTGCTGGTTCTGAAGAAAAAGGGGTTCACAGTCTTTAGAAGTTAAAGAAGGTAAGGGAACAGCTTCTTCCCTGGACCTCAGAGGGATGCAGCCTCATCAGCAACTTCACTTTATCCTAGAGCTGGGGTGGTGGCCCACACCTATCATCTCAGGAGTATGAGGCAGGAGGACTGCCACCAGTTCAAAGCCAGCCTGGTTTACACAGCAAGTTCCAGGATGGCAGAATTTCCAAGCAAAAAAATTTCCTCAAAAAGGAAAAAAAAAAAAAAAAAAAAAAAAAGAGTTTGGACCTACAGAATTCTAAATCAGTTACATGTTGCTGTTCACAGACACCAAATTAGGGATAGTTTGTTAGAGGAAATTGCAAGAAAATCAATATGGTACCTGCCTGCTAGAAAAGCCTGCAACACACACATTGCATTAGCCCGTGAACCTCTATCCTGAGCATAGACAACCCAGCACAGACCTACGGTTGGTTGCCTTCCACACATCACTAAAACTCACAATTAGAGGAGCGGCTGTGCATGGTAGTCCCCAGAACCCACTGCTCTGTGCGCACAGATGGCAGGAGTGATTTTTGACTTCTACCACAGCAATTTTATCAGAGACACATGTAGTACATTTTCAGGCAGAGAAATCTGCAAAACACATGGTTGGCCTCAAAAATAGTAACAGCTCTTTACAATACAGTTCAAACTTTTTTTTTTCCACATCTGGTTTGCAAAATGGACATCTGATGATATGCAAATGTACAGAAGCGAATCATGAGTCACAACAGTCCCTGACCCACCCATGTATGGTAACGTTTCCTAGAATAACAACCCTCCTTATTTTGCTATGTAGAGCAGGCAGGCCTGGAACTCACCGAGATCTGCCTATCCTTCCTGGCTGTTGATTAAAGGAGTGTACCATGTCAGCTTTTGATGACCTGAAGAACTGTTTCCAACGGTGTCTCACTGAGGACTTTGAACAGTGCTCCTGAGTCGTCGGAGCTTTTTTCTTTTTTTGCAGAAGCCCTCCAGAAAGCACAGACGTGATCACACCCCAGTCACTGCCACATTGCTGGCGTGCTTATGTTTGAGGTAATGGTAGGAAAGCCTGTAGCATGTCAGCAGCGTCTAATTCCCTTGCTACTTTCCAAAAAAATCATTTAATGGATAAATCTGTCTTTTTTAAATCTCTAGGCTCTGTAAAAAAGCCATTCTTCACAAATCCAGGTTTCCATTTGAGATAGAAAGCCCAGCTTCTTTGATGTAATGAAACCCTTACAATTTAGGGACCACGTTTTAACTCAAAGCACTGCCCACCCAAACAGTGGCTCGTTTCATTTGCCTTCCTCAAGCTTCCTGAATCACCAGAGAATGACTTTACACAAGAGTGTAGATTATACAGGCAGATTTAGGGGTTCCCATAGTACCCAGTAACAGAGGCGCCTGATGTTATTGTATCTGTTGACCCATCACACTCATGGCCTCTTATGGAAGCATCACACCATTTAGCAAGAATATCCCTGTGGTTGAACCAGCAGATTTCACTGAAAATCCTTGGGATGCCCTCTGGACACAGAGGAGAGGTTCTGGAGAGAGATTTCATTAACATAAAAACAACAAACAACAGTTCAATGTACAGCTAAATTTCCCTATATTCGGAGGTAACCTTAAATATCTTTGGTTTTTAATTTCTTTTTAATTTGCGGATATAAAGTATTCAGATAAAAACACTGATAAATACCACTATGACTGTATTGCCTTTAACTATGTAAACTTAGTCTTTCGGGATTTTCTTTTTGCCACTAATGCTACATTCCCTATCTGCTTCTTCTAAATAAATTTATTTTAAATCTGCTCATCTTTACTTACAGGCTAAATTATATATTTTAATGGTCTTTGGTATGAAAATAACGATGAGCAGTATATTGTAATATTTGACATTAAAAATGACAGCCAGGTTATCAGCACTTCTAACAAATATGTCTTTGGAAAATGAAACAGTTACCAGTTTGCATATCAGCTTATTTGGAGTTGAAATATGATGAAGAAATAATACCATGAGAAAGAAATGCTAACCTTCACACTTTAGTTAGAATTTCATACTTCAGACTTCAAAGAAGCTTGCTTTCACCAAGCTGAGAGCCTCTGTTGAACATTAAATACCTTATTCTATGAGATCAAAATATTTATTTTAGTGGTAAGATTTGTTTTTTTTTTCTCTCCAACAAGTAATTTCAAGAATTTGAAATACATTAATACTATAGAGTTAAAGATTTCTTTACTCGCTGAATGAAAAAAAAAGCCCTACAGTTGAAACACTTTGTAACATCTTCTGGTGAGGAAATTACAACGTATTTTAAACATTCTGGTGACAGTGTAGTTAATGTCACTAGTCTAATTAAGTAACTGTAACTATCAATATAAACCCTGCAGTTTAGGGTTAGAAATTACTTGCAATTGAGTCTATTCATAGCTGTTATTAGTGAACTCAATTTAGGGTAATTATAATAGACATTTCATTTTCTATTAGAAATTCTTTGGTAAGAGAATTATGACTGCATAAGAATAGAATGGAAGGTTAAAAAATGAACTAGCAAATAGTTACAAGCTAAAGGTCTACTGGAACTAAGGGCCTATTCATCAACAAACAGCACTTTCTTCTGGGACAGTGTCCCCTCACACCCTTTCAGACGCCCCAGGCAGGGAACACAGTTCACGTGTGTGTGTGTGTGTGTGGCCCTAAGCCTGAAGTCTCACCTTTCCGTTCTGTTTGCTTTTGAAGATTGAGAACAGCCGATCCCCTCGGACCTCTCCGTTTCAGATACTGATAGAAGTTGGCCCACAGACTTCTACTGAACCAAACAACACCATACCCTGTCAATGCACCCGCCCATGTGTCATGAGCTCAAGAGAAACAAAACAAACAAACAACAACAAAACAAACAAACAACAGAAAAATTCCCTGAGTACAGGAAAGAACGGTAACACTAGAATAGCTTTTAAGAGGAGGTAGTATAAACAGGAGCACGCGGGCAGGGCAGGCCGGCTTTCTTGCCTCCCATTGTTCACCTAAAGCTCTGTTTTTTTCTTTCTTTTCTTTTTCTTTCTTTCTTTGCCCCCCCCCCCCCAAGTTGCCGAAAAGCCCACAACACAAGGAGAGGGACAGAACTGTGCTCAGAAGTGGCAGCTGGCCCACCTCGTGGATCGGGTTCTAAGCGCGTCCAATTTGGCACAAAACTTAGAATCACAATGAAAAAACCGTGGCAGGGTCATCGAGACAGATGACCCCAGGATGATTATCCAGCCGTTCCCTTGACTTTAGGACCCCGTTGGTCAGGACCTATTCCATCTGTAGAGGGAAGGTTTCAAGGGAAAAAACCCACAGAGGGTCCTTCCTTTAAAATGCAACTCAAAAGCCATTTCCAAAAAACCTGGGGGGAGGGCCAAACCCACGGTTTTGAAAGGCTGAGGACGTGCCTCTCTTCCGCGGCTCTCATTTTTTGTCCCTCCCATGCGGCTCAGCCCCTAGGTTGATGCCTCAGGACTGAGAAGGCCCTGCTCTAAGGGGCTGAGTCAACAACTTGCTGATTTCAAACCAGGCAGAGGATGAACTCACTCCTGGAGAGTGGGACAGTAAGCCAAGAGCTTAGCCGCTGGGGTGGTGGGGTACAATGTCCCCGGGGCAATCCTGCGCGCTTCAAAAAGAGAACATCACCAACAAGGTGCCAGGTAGCAAAAGAGCTATCGGTAAGACCCAAGCTTTGTTAAGGCAAATTTTTGGTACCCTTTTTCCTAAACATCTTCATGAATATTAAAAAGGTATAAGGCAAAAATTTTCACAATATATACTGGAAGGCACTGCTGTTATGAAAACCACAAGTTCATCTTATAGTCTACTGCTTCGTGGATCTTCGTTCTTGAGACTTCATGACACGTCTCCACCATTTGAAGCCAAACTGGGATTTTAAAAGAGAAAATCTGAACCATTAGAAAAAAAAATCCACTTTTCTACATTGTGTTTCGCAGCTAGCTTGGAAACTCTGAAGATGTTCCACCAAAGAGACAGCGTGGCCCTTGACGGACTGTGGGGCCAAGTGGAGGTGGCTTTTGCAGGCTGAAGGCAGGCTGGTTTGGGCTGGAGCACAGTACTCCCGACCTGGTGCTCCAATCCCAACAGCCTGGCAAGGCTATGTTCTCCTATATGCTATGGAATGGTTCTCTTCTCCAAAGAGACATATTTGTTTCATCCATTCAAATAAATATAGTCCCGAATTTTCTCCTCACAGCCAGAGGTCTTAACATTATCCAAATCACGCAGATGTCACAGTTGGGAAAAAAAACAAAAAAACAAAAAAACAGAGCTTCAGATCAACATTCTTCCTCATCTACCCATCGGGCTCCTCAGGCACACACATCACACACACAATGGACACACGGCGGCGGCGGCGGCGTCCCTAGGAAGTCCCGCTGACTCTGCCGCCGCCCAGAGAAACCAGCACTGAAGGAGGCAGCACAGCTCTTCAGAGTCCGCCAACAGCAAACTGAGGTAGCTATTCAGCAGAGGGCTCGGGCAGTCTTCCCTCCGCTCCAGTGATGTATCTGAGAACACAGTCAAGCATCCTGACTGCCCTTTTTCACATTGTTGACAGTTGAAACATTCAAAATTCGTGCGCTTAAAAATAATTAAAAAAATTTTTTAAGAGATTAAAAAAAAAACAAAAAAACAAAAACCAATAAACAGTTAAGACGTCAAGATTTTCACAGGCTTTGGCTCCCTGTTCATTGTCCTTCGAACAGATGCTTGTGAATCCCTGAGCATGGCTGTCTAGATGGGAAACCCCTCGGCAGCAAAGCGCGGCCCTGCAGACGGTGGCTGTGGGGCTGAGGAGGAAGTCTGCTCATCTGGCAAGGGCCCCGCAGGGTCTCCGTGCTTCTTCAGCACACCAGCTCCATCAGCATCACCACCGGCGAGGGAATTCGGGGTGGGGGGTGTGCCGCTGATGACCGAGGACAGGTGTATCTCATCATTGGACTCGTGGGAGAACCTTCCAGAATCCCCCGTCTCGTGGCTGCCTTCACTGTTTGCTGAATGCTCAGTGTCGAGGGCAGCCCCAAAGGGTCTTGGGAAGCCGGTGGTCTGGCCTGGGGGGCTGGGGGAGTCCTCATCGCTGATGAGCACGGTGGTGCCTGGCTGGTAAAAGCAGACGGGCTGAGTAAATCTTCTTGGAGTCTAGGCAGAAACAGATAAGGTAGCGATGAAACACCACACAGTCCACGTGCACGGACCAAAGGTCTCCACTGTGAATGGACTGCTGGGGTCAGTGGTTCCCACAGGCAGCTGGGAGCATTTCTGAACTGCTCTACCAACCGGAATGCTAAAGCCTTCCTTGGTGGGACTGGAGGACGGCTAAGTGGTTTAGACCACATACTGCCCTGGCAGAGAACCTGAGGTTAGCGCCTACCACCCACACCAGGTGACTCACAATCATCTCTAACTCCAGCTCCAGGTGATCCAACACCCTCTTCTGGCCTCCAAGGGTGGTACTCATGTACATATATCCACTCAGACAGGCACACACACATAATTAAAAGTTAAAAATCTTTAAAACAAAATACCCAAAACTTATGGTTATTTTGACACGAGCTCACGTCCCTCTCTTTTCTTACAGTCCTCACGGCCCACTGAAAACGACATCCCTGAGTACTGTCCCCCTGTCTTCCCGGCTGTCATTCACCACTGCTCTTCACAGACTAGAATCAGGACAATCTCAACTGACCTTTCGGCGGTCACTCAACACAGCTCTCCTCTGCCGGAAGAGAAGAACCTGGTCGGCCCAAGATGACTCACTTACATTCTCCCGTTTTCCTATTCCTTCCAATCATCATTTCTTATGTCATGGACAGAAAAGGATTCTCCCACGGGTGGATTACCTGTTCAACTTTCATCTTCTTGGTGTCTTGGAAAAAAAGCCACTTTTTCTTGGTGTTGTTTTTAATTATAGGACCATAGCTATTGATGATCAGATCAGTCCCTCCCTGAGGAAATACAAAGGGAAAACACCCCAGAATTAGAGATCTGAGTTTATCGCAAGAAGTACACAAAGGTTTTTAATGTCTAAAGAAGACAAAGGTCTCCGGGCAGTGGTGGCGCACGCCTTTAATCTCAGGACTCAGGAGACAGAGGCAGGTGGATCTCTCTGTGAGTTTGAGACAGTCTGGTCTACAGATTGAGTTCCAGGACAGTCAGGGCTACACAAAGAAACCACAAGTCTTGACAAAGACACGAAGTAGCACCCTCTGGTGACACTTCCTTGTAATATTCTGCTTCCTCAGACCATTAAGAGAAGGCTCTTTAGGTATCTACGTAGATATTTATTTATTTGTTTGTTGTTTATATTTTATGTGTACAAGTGTTTTGCCTGTGTGTACGTATGTATACCATGTGCCTGAGGAGGTCAGGAGGGAGTCAGATCCCTAGGAAGTGGAGTTACAGGTGGTTGTGAGCCACCACGTGGGTGCTGGGAATGGAACCTGGGTCCTCTAGAAGAGCAGAAAATGCTTCTAACTTCTGAGTCATCTCTCCAGCACGTATTTTTCTTATTTAAAAAAAAAATGTTCTTCGGAGGTGACAGAGCTGGCTCAATGGTTAAGAGCACAGGCTGTTCTTTCAGAGAACCAGGGACAAGTTACCAGGACCCATATGTCAGCTCATAACCATCTGTAACTCCAGTTCCAGAGGATCTCATGCTCTCTTCTCCCCTCCTTGGGCACTGGGCACACACATGATGCAGAGACATTATATGCAGGCAAAACACTCGTACATATAAAAGATTTATACAAAAGTGAATCTTAAAAAAATCTCCTTTGTATGTGATGTCCTCTGGGGGTCAATTCAGGCAACCACCATTCTCAATGTAAAATAATTTAATAAAAGTGTTGATGCCATAAGTGCAGGGAAGCCCAAATTATACTAAACAACAGCTAATGATGGTGTATCCCAGCTCCCCATAATCCTGTCTAATGTCTGTCTGTCCCCACCTCTTCCTGTATCTTCTATCCTTTGTGCTTTCATGTGTCCTCAACTTCTCCCCCCAAACTGTGGGTGGATGGATCATATAATTATAATTAACAGGGGTATGCATACAACACATTCAACACACTTTCCTGGTAAGTTAATGTCACACAAGGAGAGCAGCATCATGGAACGAACCTTCGCATCGATGAAGCTGCTGGGCATCATGGGTACCAAGGACTCTTCATTCTCTGTCGCCCTCTCCAGGTTCTTCCCCACGTCACTCCCCGCGGCTACAGAAGCACTGGCTCGGGATAACGGCTGGGTTCCGTTCTGTGCCGTCTTGGAGGCAGATGACTTCCTGAAATATTGGTAAGAAAAGAAAGCCTGCTCACCTGATAGAAGATATGGGCAAATGTACCAAATTTGGCATTTAATCAGAACTTTTTTTTTGACGCAGTGACTTGTGTATCCCAGACTGGCCTCAAGCTTGTAGAAGAGAATGACTTCGAATTTACTTTTTTGCTTTTAAAATTTTTACATTGATTTATTTACTGAGTGTGTGTGTGTGTGTGCAGACACACACACACACAGACACACACACACAGACACACAGACACACACACAAGTACATGTGGAGGTAAGGGATCAACTTGCAAGACTCGGTTCGCTCCTACCTCGTGGGTTTTCAGGACTGAACTCTGGTAGTCAGGCCTGTGAGCAAGCACCTGTACCCGCTGAGCCACCCAGAACCATCCTGAAGGCCCTTTGACCTTGAACTTGGTTCTTCCGTGCTACCCCGAGAGGTGTGTCCCCACACCTGGCTTTCTGTAGTGCTGGGGAAGGAACCCGGGGCTTGAGGACACAGCTGAGCACTCACGAACTGAGCAAGCTCCTCAGCCCCCAGCTTTCCAAACAATGGGCTTCTTCAATGCCTATGTCTCAGATAGAAATACTAGATCTTTAGCTTTATTCACTGCTGTGGTGTTTGTGATTTGCCTGACAGCTGATGGGTAACACATCTCTATTTACTTCATTAGCCTGTGGTTCCGGCCACTTGTCCTGTACCTCTCTTGGTGACTAACGCATGTCTGGTGTCACTACTTAGACATGAGATCATAAGGAATCCTCTGGGAAAGGGACGCGCTGGATCAAGTGTGCCATTAAAATAGACACAAAAGCAAAAGCCAGTCTCTCAAATATACTTCTCATTTTCTCAAAATGATATAGCAATGCAGAAACCAAATCCTCATTTAGGGATTTTTATTGGCACAGCAGTTTTTTGGGGTTTTTTTTCTTTTTTTTTTACTCCCAAATGGCAGGAAAATGATCTCAGTATGAATTCAGCACATTCCCGGCTGTAAAAACCCCATAACATAACACTCCTTTTAAGGAGGAAAACAACCCAGTTGATTCTACAAGGCACTTGATTTCAACTCGTTTCCTGCAGCTGCTGTCTTTGAAATGTTTTCTAGGCATTACAGCATCTCTCTCTTTGCATACATACATACGTACATTTTACATGTGTGTGCATGTGGAGAGCTGTGGTGGACCCAGGTGTCAATCCCTTCCCACCTTACATTTGAGGCTGAATCTCTCACTGCACGTGGAGCTCGCCATTTCCCCTAGACCGGCTGTAGGGATTTTCCCGCCTTTGCCTCTCGAAGGCTGGGATGATAGGCAGGTACCACCCCCGCCTTGCATCTCTGTGAGTCCTGGGATCTTTGGTTCTCACACTTGGCACCTTACCTGTGAGCCCTTCACCCCACGCCCTACACCAGCATCTCTAGCAAGCGAAACAAACGCACCTGGCTTTGCTTCGGTATACCAAGATGAGAACACAGATGAGGATGCAGGTCAAGGCTATGCCAACGCCTACGGCGATACCGGTCATTGACTTCTGGTCCAGATGGTAATAGCCTGAATAAACTAGAGCGGGGAGCACGTTTACACAGTCAGAAGAAACAACCACATTCCACACATCACAGTTCAGACAGCTGCTTTTCTGTAATTTGCCTTTATCTCATAGGGAAACTGTTGACATTACATTGAAGCAGAAAAGTCATGAATTGATTTTTGCCAGTGATTACAGAAGTCAATTTACCTTCTAGTATTGAAGATCAAGACCATATTTAAACAGCATACTATTATATCAAACAATGAACACCAATCTCGAATTTTATTTATTTGGTTTTTTTGGGGGGATAGGGTTTCTCTATGTAATAGTCCTGGCTGTCTAGGAACTAGATTTGTGGACCACGCTGGGCCTTGAACTCACATAGATCCACCTGCCTCCGCCTCTGGAGCGCTGGAACTAAAGGTGCTTGCCACCACACCTGGCCCCTTTCTGTTCTTAATTCTGACTGTCTGCTCTTCTTACCTTCTCCCGCACCAACCACTGAGTGACTGCCCTGTAGCTCCAGAGTTCTTAATGTGTATTCAGCAGGTAGCTTCTCTACTTACAGCTGCTCTCTTATTTCTCCACAGAAAAGCAGAGTGAGGTGTCCAGTCCTGGACCCCAGGGGGCACTGGCTCCCTTTAGACAGGTGGACATTGAGAGTCCTGAGTGGGGGTGGCTGCCGAACCACATTTCCCCCCTCCCAACTGTTTTTCTGGGTAAAGACTGTCTGGGAGAGCTGTTTTCCTTAGCGAAAGCCAGGTTCCTCCCGGCCTTGCTTCCACAACCACCTCTGCTGTGGTTTCCTGAGAACCTCCCAGGACGCTCACGCCCACCAGTATGCGGCTCATCTAGCCCAGCACAGCTGGAAAGCAACTGGGAGCTGAAAGTTCATTCTGGGGTGATTTTCCCTCTGCCTTCTAGGACCACAGAAGAGAGCCAGGCAGCCCAGAAACCCCAGAACTCCACCAGCAACAAGTCAGCAAACCAAGCCTGGAGCCTGGGGTGTGGCACCTGCGGGAGCTGAAGTCAAGTATTAGGGGAGGAAAACCCGTGACTGTGGCAGCATCCAGACCTTTGGCATCAGAAGCATCCAGACGCTTGGGTCTCTGGTTCGATTCCGAAGCGTCCCTGGGCAGGGCAACCAGCTCCACGGGATCGGAAAAGGGCCCTTCTCCCACCCCGTTGGATGCGGATATCTTGACGATGTACACGTTCCCCGCCACCAGGTTTTCCAGGAGAGCCATAGTCGTTGCCCCTAGAAACATACAAAAGAAGTAAACCTTTACAGCCATACAAACATGGACCTGCGTTTAAGAAGTATTTTTCTGGCCGGGCGGTGGTGGCGCACGCCTTTAATCCCAGCACTCGGGAGGCAGAGCCAGGCGGATCTCTGTGAGTTCGAGGCCAGCCTGGGCTACCAAGTGAGTCCCAGGAAAGGCGCAAAGCTACACAGAGAAACCCTGTCTCGAAAAACCAAAAAAAAAAAGAAGTATTTTTCTAAGGATAAATTGTTTAAAACAATGTTTTTTTTCCAGGGGTCTGGAGAGATGATGGCTCAGCCATTAAGAATGTTTGCTGAAGCTGGGAGGGGGTGGCACACGCCTTTAATTCCAGCACTCAGGAGGCAGAGGCAGGCGGATCTCTGTGAGTTCGAGGCCAGCCTGGTCTACATGGAGAAACCCTGTCTTGAAAAACAAAAAAAAAAAAGAATGTTTGCTGATGTTGCAGAAGGCCTGAGTTCAATTCCCAGCACCCACATCATGCAGCTATGCAGCTTACTCCAGCCTGTAACTCCAGCTCCAAAGGATCTAACACCCTCTTCTAGACTCCACAGTCACCCACACACATAGCATGCATAAAAACATAAATAAAAGTAGAAGTAAATCTTTAAAAACAATATTTTTACTGATTATTGGAAAACAGATTTAAATATGGATACATTGATAACTTCATTGTTGACATTTTAATTATTTGTACATGTGTACAAATGTATGAACACAGATTTTTCTGTTTGTTTACTTTTTCTTTTTGTTCTTTCCTGGAACTCGCTCTGTAGACCAGGCTGGTCTCGAACTCACAGAGATCTGCCTGCCTCTGCCTCCCGAGTGCTGGGATTAAAGGCGTACGCCACTACCATCTGGCCTGTTTGCTTTTTCAAAAACTATTTTTTGGTTTGGTATGGTGCTAGGATTGAACCCAGGTCCTTGTGCATGCTAGGCAAGCACTCTACTATCGAGCTACATTCGCACCCCAAATACATATTCACCTTGTGCACTTTCATAGCTTAATGTTTTCACTTAACACTGTACTATCCATATATAGACACCCCATAAAGACCTCTAGAAGAGTATTTTAAGTGGGTTTTTTTTGTTTGTTTGTTTTTTAAAAATTTGTTGTATTTATTTATTTGTTTTTGTTTTGTTTTGTTTTGTTTTTTCCCCCTGAGACAGGGTTTCTCTGTGTAGCTTTGGAGCCTGTCCTAGAACTCGCTCTGTAGACCAGGCTGGCCTCGAACTAACAGAGATCCGCCTGCCTCTGCCTCCCAAGTGCTGGGATTAAAGGATTGTTTTATTTTTAATGATATGTAAGTGCATGTGGAGTGTGGTACCCACAGATGCCAGAAGGGGCATCAGATTACATCTCGCTAGAGTTAGAGGCAGTTGTGAGCAGCCCTAATTCAGGTTCTGGATACTGAACTTGGGTCTTCTGAAGAGCAGTGTATTTTCTTAACCACTCTCCAGGTTCTTAGAAGGAATTCTTTAAACACAGCACATAGTTTTGTTTGAGTTAATATGAATATTTAAAATGTATGTAAGTTTATTTTATACTGTTTATTTATATTATATATGCCTCTATGATGCTTTACTCCTTATATACACATGACATTTAGAACACTCAATTATGGCCATTTCAACGCATACAGAAAGAATGGTACACGTAATGAGCCTGGGTCAACAGTTATAATTAGACTTTAAACAGCCAGTGTAAGAAAGAAATTCCAATGTAAGACCAATCTTTCTTTCTTAATTGTATTTGTTTAACTAACTAGGGTAACAGCTGTTTTAGACGACCCTGTTCTTCCTTCTTAAACAAGAACAGGGGCTGGAGAAACAGCTCAGCAGTTAAGAGTGTGTACTGCTCCTGCAGAGGACTTAAGTTCAAACCCGAGCACCCATGTTAAGTGGCTCATAACCGCGTAGAACTCCAGCTCCGCGGGACCAGGGCCTCTGGTCTCTGCAGGCACCTGCACTCACAAGCACATATCCCACAAAGACACACATATACACACATAATTAAAAATAATTTTAGCTGGGCATAGTGGTGCAGGCCTCTAGTCCCAGCACCCTGGAGGCAGAGGCAGAGGCAGGCCGATCTATGTGAGTTCGAGGCCAGCCTGGTCTATAATGCCAGTGCCGGGACAGCCAGGGTTACACAGAGAAACCATCTCAAAAACCAAAAGCAAACAAACAAAACTTAAAAAAAAAAATGAGGCTGGAGAGATGGCTCAGTGATTAAGAGCACTGGCTGCTCTGCCAGAGGACCTGGGTTCAATTCCCAGAACCCACATGGCAGCTCACAACTGTTTGTAACTCCAGTTCCAGGGGATCCAATGCCTTTTTGGCCTCCACAGACAGGCACCAGGCATGCAAGTGGTATACAAACATACATGCAGGCAAAATACCCACACACATAAAAACAAAATTAAAAGTTAAAAAAAATATTTAAATGAGAAAGAACACAAATACTTTCCAAATGTTGAATGAATCTTCCAGCAGCCGATTATCATAATGCTAAAACAAACAAAAAAAACCCCCACAGGTTTCCGTGGGAACCACAGAGACTGACGACCCCTCACAGGTTAACTTTCTTAGAACATTTTATTGCATTTCTGTTGCATGTGCACTGTGTGTATGTGGTTGTGTGTGCACTGGCATGCACGCGGAGCTCTCCTTTTCCCCTGGTATAAAGGGACCTACAAGAGCTTCAGAAAGCTTACAAGGGCTTGCTGCAGTCAACTGCAAAGCCAGGGCTGGCTTTTCCGGAGCACGTGCTAGGGAGCACCCAGCACGTAACTCTGTACCTCCAAAGGGAGGGAAGTGTGGGCAATCCCATAACTGAAGCCCTGATACAGCGGCTACTCTGCAGGTCACACACTGTGAGGTGGCCTGGCCATTAGTGGCAGTGTCAGGAGCCCAGCAGGACTTGTTTTCATGTTCTCTGGTTTCAACTTGGCCTGAAGAAAGTGTGAGTTACTTGAATAACCCAACTGCTAAGTAAACACAAGAAACCCTATTTAGAAGCAGGAAGAATCTGTACTGTGTACCTTGGATGCAGGCAGAGGCACTACAAAACAAAGATGTACCCTCACAAGTTAAAATTAGCTGGAGGGCCATTCCAATTTCTTCACAAGTAGAGATGAAAATTATGCTCCTGTTCTATCATTAAATACGTTTAATTTTTCAAAATGCTTGGCAAAAACTTACCACAAGCAAAAGCAAATTTTTCATTTAATTAAAAAAAAAAATGTTTCGGCCAGGTGGTGGTAGTGCACACCTTTAATCCCAACACTCAGGAGGCAGAGGCAGGTGGTTCTCTGTGAGTTCAAAGCCAGCCTGGTCTACAGAGCAAATTCCAGGATAGCCAGGGCTATGCACAGATAAACCCTGTCCCAAAAAAGTTTTATTTCATGAGACAAAGTCTTATGTACCCTAGGTTAGCCTCAAACTCACTATGTAGGCAAGGATGACCTTGAGCTGATCCTCCTGCCTATCACGACCAGTTTTATCCAGGCTGGGGATTAAACCCAGGGCTTCATGCATGCTAGGCAAGCATCCTAGAGGCTGAGCTACACCCCCAGCCCAATTAATTTAAGCTTTGTAAGTGAATCAGCACTATATGTAAACACACTCTTTCCATTCATCAAAAATGATTTCAGTTCAAAAAAAAAAGAAAAGAAAATGGCATAACATCTGTTCCCCTATGAGCACATGAGGCTTGTGTGTGAAGGTCAAAGGTCAACTTGCAGGTATCTGTTCTCTCCTTCCACCACATGGGTTCCAGGAATCAAACCCAGGAGGTCAGCCTTAATGACAAGCACCTTCACCTGATGGTCCCTCTTGCCAGCCGACTACCACAAATATTTTGATTCTCAAAAAAAAAAAAAAAAAATTAAATTCTTGGTCTATTTGGTATTAAATATGAACATAAATATGTATAAATTTACACATATTAAAGATCATCAGCAAGCCAGGCAGTGATGGTGCATGCCTTTAATCCCAACACTCGGGAGGCAGAGCCAGGAGGATCTCTGTGAGTTCGAGGTCATCCTGGTCTACAGAGTGAGATCCAGGACAGGCACCAAAACTACACAGAGAAACCCTGTCTCAAAAAATCAAAAAAAGAAAAAAAAAAAAAAAACAACAACAACACATTATCAGCTAGGCAGTGGTGGTGCACACCAGTACTGGGGGAGGAGAGACAGGCGGATCTCTGTGAGTTCGAGGCCAGCCTGGTCTACAGAGCAAGTTCCAGGACAGCCAGGACTACATAGAGAAACCCTGTTTCAAAAAATGGAAAGAAAAAAAAAAAAACTATCAGATATGACAAAATGCTTTTTCCCCCATCTTTTCCTACATTCTTACCTTTCTAAAACTGCTGTGTTCAGATACAAAAGAGTTTTCCATTTTAACTTTTTCTCTATTCTGAGCTGATCTCCTTGCTTTTTAAGTAACTGTAGGCTGACTTTTTCTATTTTCTCTCTCAAAACCAGGACTCCATTGCTTTTTCTTGTATTATTTACTTGTTCTTTCTGAGCCACAGCATTAACTATAAAGAAAGCTCTCTACATTTAACAAACGACAAAAGCTTTTCACAAGACTGTTCCTGAAAATCTCACCAAACGGAGCACGGATCATGTTTTCCTGCACACAATTATGTAGTTAGGAAGGGTGGTAGAGATGTAAAAGCCTGCAATTATTGTCCGTGTCTCCATGGAGCCAGAAATGAGGTAAGATATTCATTTCTGAGCTCTTTCCAGAACTCCCAAATGGGTCAATTTGAAAACAGGCAGAGGAAATGATCGCTTCCTTTTAGGAAGGTAAGAACGAAGTATTCAAAGCTTCGTGCTCAAGCGGCTCCTTATTAATATTTATGGCGCCTTATTAAATCAGATTTGTCACTTGGTCAAGTGTTGTGTCAATAAACCATCTTGGAAATGAGAGACGGAGGCTGAACCATGCGGTCAGGAGGACCCAAGCCGAGCTCCCAGCACCCAAGTCCGGCAGCTCACAACTGCCTGTCACTCCAGCTCCGGGGACTCAGCATTTTCCGCTGGCCTCTGCAGGCACTGCACACATGTGGTGCAGACCAATAAAGGCAAAAATAAATCTAAAACAAGACACATGTGGGGCCCTAAAAAGGGCAAAGAGGTTAAAGGCGCTTGCCGCCAAGTATGACAAACCAAGTCCAATCCCCAATACCCCACATAGTGGAGAGAACCAACCCCTCCCTGTTGTCCTCTGGCCTCCCTAACCACCCTGCTGCCACCCCCACCCCCACAAATGTTTATTTTTATTTTCAAAGAACATAAGCTTGACTATTGATACTAAAGAGCCCTCTGGGTTTCCACCTATTCACACCCCTGGGCAGCGCTAATTGTCACACGCTCCAGGCTTGGCCATGTCATTTACTGTATCTAATGGGACATCAGTAAATGTGACTCGGCCAAGGTTAGTGTCACATTGTTTCCAAAGGTTTATCTTTTTTTTTTTTTTTTTTTTTTTTTTTTTTTTTTTTTTTTTTAGGTTTTTTGAGACAGGGTTTCTCTGTATAGCTTTGCGCCTTTCCTGGAACTCACTTGGTAGCCCAGGCTGGCCTCGAACTCACAGAGATCCGCCTGGCTCTGCCTCCCGAGTGCTGGGATTAAAGGCGTGCGCCACCACCGCCCGGCCCAAAGGTTTATCTTTCCCTCCAGACTTTAAACCGCCCTCCCCACCGTTCCTAGACTCCTCACCCCTCTCAGACTCGAGATGCATGAAATCAATAAGAAAATACAATTGCTTGAAGTTCTAGAGGGGTCTGTGAAACTGCAAGACATGGACAAACATAATGACATCTAACTGTCAAGTCTGCAGTACTATCAACGCTGCCCGCCCTTGCAGAGGACCCAGGGTCACTTCCCAGCACCTACATGGTGGCTCAAAAGGCCTATTCTAAGAAATGTGATGCCCTCTTCAGGCCTATGTGAGGAACTGCATTCATATGCACAAACCCACAGTCACACATAATTAAAAACAAATTTTAAATCTTTGAAAAAAGGAAAATTCTCCAGCCGGTGGTGATGCGTACCTTTAATCCCAGCACTAGGGATGCAGAGGCAGGTGGATCTCTGTGAGTTCGAGGCCAGGCTGGTCTACAGAGTGAGATCCAGGACAGCCAGGGATATACAGAGAAACCTTGTCTTGAAATACCAAAAACCGGGCTGGAGAGATGGCTCAGTGGTTAAGAGCACTGACTGCTCTTCCAGAGGTCCTGAGTTCAATTCCCAGCAACCACATGGTGGCTCACAACCACTTGTAATGAGATCTGGTGCCCTCTTCTGGCCTTAAGGGATACATGCAGGCAGAATACTGTATACGTAATAATTAAATAAATCTTAAAAAAAAAAAAAAGGGAAAAAATGTATTACAATCCTTAAGTTTTCTGTTTTTTCTTTTTCTTCCAGGAGATAGGCGTGGGCTTGCTATAAGATTGGAATTTTTTTCATCTCAAAAGTGCCAGGATTACAGACGTGGACCACCACTCTGGACTCCTTAAACTTATAATTGCTCAACAAACCCACCTCTTCCCAGCATGTGTGGATTAAGGACATGCCAGAATAACACTTCAGATTCCCCACCTACACTCTGCCACATGGAGCATGTCCAAATGGGAGCCTGAAGATTTTTAAAAGAACGTAATGTTAAATGCACACAGTGAGAATACTAAGAATTTGGTAATTTAGTATTCCTCAGCTAAAAACAGACTAACGTTTAAGAATCTTACACAGGGGGCTGGAGAGATGGCCTACAGTCATAAATGCTGTATACATAATAAATAAATAAATCTTAAAAAAAAAAAAAAAGAATCTTAAACAGTGTTCTCAAGTCCTAATCAGGTTTTCTCTGTACTTAAAAAAACAAACAAAAAAAACCCCAAACAAACAAAAAACAAAAAACCTGGGGCCAGCAAGATAGCTCAGAAGGCAAAGGGCTTGCTGAGCGACCCTGACAACCCAAGTCTGATCCCCGGAACCTATGCCAGAGGCTGGATGTGGCGGCACACATCTGTTATCCCAGCACTCCTACGGTGAGGTGCGGGGGGAGAGAACTGACCAGAAGCTCTTGGGTCAGCGATCCGGGAGCACGCAGACGACGGGAGCACGCAGACAAAGGAACAAGTGAGAGAGATCCTGCCTGAACAAGGCGGAAGGCAAGGACCAAGCGTGAACACTGCTCTCTGACCGCCCCGCGTGCACCGAGACGCACGCATGCTCACACAGATACAATTAATGAGTTAACTGAATTGACAGATGGATTCCCAATGCTCACTGAACAAAACCAAAAAGCTTCAGTAATTTGCTACTTTCTACATAAGAACGTGAACTCGATGCGAGCTCCATATCGCTTCCCTGGGTGTCCGTCCCTGTGACACTGGTAACTTCCTGTCACCGTCCTTGACCACCGCTCCTCACACTCACCTTCTCGGTGGAGGACCTGCCACTCGCCCGCAATCCAGGCCTTCCTGGAAGCGTACAAGATGGTGTAGCGGGTCACAACTGTCTCTGGGCCGTCTGGGGGTTTCCAGGAAACAAGGGCAGTGTCGTCCTCGATCAGGGTCACCTTCACGCCCACCGGGGGGCCTGTGGGTGCTGTGGGGACATGAGAATGACACTGTATGAGCAGATCAGAGGGGTTATGAGCACGCCAATGCTGGCTGACAGACGGAGAACCACGGAGTCTGCACAACCAGTAACGATTGTAAGAAATCTGAACATCATAGCTTTTGAGGTTCGTTGTAATAACAGGAAATAGCTGAGGCTGGCCTTCAACACCTGACCCTTCTGTTTCCACCTCCCGAGAGCCGGAATGGGAAGACACCACCGTGTCTGGTTTGCGTGGTGCGAGTTTACCTAAGGGCTTTGTGCATGCAAGGCGATTCACCCAGCACTCGACCCAGCACTTTCCCGTTTAAACCAGTTTTAAAAAACCATAACGAAGAGGGTAGGGCTGGAGAGATGGCTCAGAGGTTAAGAGCACTGGCTGCTCTTCCAGAGGACCTGAGTTCAATTCCCAGCAACCACATGGTGGCTCACAACCATCTGTAATGAGATCTGGTGCCCTCTTCTGGCATTCAGGCAGAACACTGTGTAAATAAATAAATATTAAAAAAAAAAAAAAAAAGAGGGTAGACTCTAGATGTCAATGTCCGACATCTAAGGCACAGGATTTTCAGGACTTCTGAAATATTACTGTAAAGGACCGGTTAGAATGGCTATGGCAATAGTGTGCTTGCCCAGCGTGAGGCCACAGCAACACTTCCTAGTGCAGAGAGGGAAGGGGGGAGGAGTACAGGGTAGTATGTCATCTGTTCACCAGAGAAAGTCCCCGTCGGTACTGACTCCAAATTGTAGCTCCTTCTAAACTGTTTAGAACAATACCCAGATCCAGAAGGCTTGAAGCAAATGCTCCCAAGACTAAAGCGTTCAGCTGTTTCCCAAGACACTGAGAATCAGCGTGTTTATAGAACAGACTCAAATAAGAATTTCTGTGTGTGAACGTCAGTGAAATCATGAACATCAGCTGACTCCATGTTTAACAAGAGCTCAGAGTATGAAGAGGTGGGCTTTGGTGCTGTTTTTATGGGATATCATCAAAACCACCAGGGACACAAAACACTGCGCCTAGAGCCACAGGGGTCTCAGCTGGAGCACAGCCAGCTAGCTAGTCACATGACCAGCGATTCACAGGGCACCGGGAACAGCACCAGGCTGCCACTTATAGGAAAACGGGGTCTGAGGCGGGCTCCTAAGAGCATTAACAACCTCCTTCTGTTTTCAGTGAGCGGAGACTGAGGTTTGAACATCATGACTGACTGGAAAAAAAAAAAAAAAAAGAGGAGTCCTTAAAGGAACAGAAATTAAAGCTCACTGGCTTGTAAGTTTTCCTAAAAGGAAGAAAAAAAGACTTAAATATGATAGAGAAAAAATTCGAAAGGTAAGAAAATGAAGAAGCACATTTCAACTGGTAGGTGTTAGAGGCCGTCTTGCTCTCAAAGTGGCATACATACTTCCATTCTTCTTCTTCTAATCTCGGCTCACCCCTGAACTCACTATGTAGGTGAGGATAACCTTCAATGTCTAAGACCTGACTGTACTGTCTCAGTGGTGGTGCTCACCTTTAATTCCAGCACTCAGGAAGCAGAGGCTGCCTAGGCAATCTCTGTGAGTTTGAGGCCAGCTTGGTCTACAGAGCGAGTCCCAGGACAGCCAAGGCTACACAGAGAAACTCTGTCTGAAAAAATCCAAAAACCAAAAACCAAACCAAAACAAAACAAAAAGAATTCTTAATAGTTTTTTGTTTGTTTGTTTAAAGAGAGGCATGGTGGCACACGCCTTTAATCCCAGCACTTGGGATCAGAGGCAGGCAGCTCTCTCTGAGTTTGAGGCCAGTCTGGTCTACAGACTGAGTTCTATGATACCCATTTTGACTCTGTCTCAAAAAATCAAACAACAACAATAAAAACCAGTTTTAAAAACAAAACATATATAGGCAGAGGCAGGTGGATCTCTGTGAGTTTGAGGCCAGCCTGGAGATCTACAGAATGAGTAGGACTACAATGCAATGGACAGCCAGGACTGTTACAAAGAGAAATCTTGTCTCGAAAAACAAAAGAAAACCTCTCTCTCTCTCTCTCTCTCTCTCTCTCTCTCTCTCTCTCTCTCTCTCTTTATATATATATAAAATCCATAATGGGACTAGAGAGATGGCTCAGTGATTAAGAGCACCAGCTGCTATTCTAAAGGACCAGAGTTTGAGTCCCGGCACCTATATGGTGGTTCACAACTATCTGTACTCTAGTCCCAGAGGATCTGATGCTCTCTTCTGGCTTCTGCAGACACTGTACATATGTGCTGCACAGACATAATGCAGCCAAAACACCCAATCACATAATAAAGAAAAGAATGAATGAACGTGAATAAATAAAATTTAAGAGATGAACTCCATTGGGAAGCTGCAGTTCCTACCTTCTGGGAGTGTGGAATGGTAGACCACGGGGCTCCAGGGACTGGAGAGCTGCTCCACATGCAGCCGGACAGCAAATTCATACTTGGTGTTTGGTTCCAGTCCTTGAACCAACATGTGGGTCTCTGACCTGTATTAAAGAGGAAGGGGGTTGTTAGCGCCAGGAACAATTTCCAATAGTCAGTGTATCAATTCGTGTCAAGGAAGCATAGTTTTCAGAACTGAATGAACAACGGGAACCGAAACTTCCAGCCGTTTTAGATTACCAGCTCTGAGATGAGTGCTCACAGGCGAAGCCCGAGCTGAGCCCCAGTCAGCAGTAGGAAGTGTGAGCAGCCAGGAACACAAAGGAAACAACCAAGAAGGCAAGCTACATACGTTTGCAGGTAGAGAACCAGAGAGGCGTTCTGCAGGCCGACAGGGTTACAGCGGACAGTGTAGTTAACGACTTGGGCCATGGTAAATGCAGGCCTCCTCCAGTGCAGGAAGATGGAAGAGGAGGTGTTAGCCTTCGCATAGAGATGGTGGGGCGGCGGCGGCGGAGGGACCATGCGATCACGAACAGCTATGGAGAAATGCGACAGGAATTTACTGCTAAGGGTTGGTGCCGTAGGGAGCAGTATAATGGAAAATGAGAAAACACCCGCGTCGGTGGATCTGAGGTCTTTCCTCCACCAGTCTCATAGTGGTCTATCCCTGACTCACTCAGCTACCAAACTCTTCTGTGAGTTAGATACGGAGTCAAAGGCTTAACTGTTTGAAAAACAACAGTTCTAGACCGTTGTAGCAGCGCACGCTTTAACCCCAGCATTCGGAGGCAGGCGGTTCTCTGTGAGTTCGAGGCCAGCCTGTTCTACACAGTGAGTTCCAGAAAAGCCAGAGCTACAGAGTGAGGTCCTGTCTTGAAAAAAAAACCAAACCAAACAAACAACCCGCCCCCCCTAAAAAAAGCGAAGAAAGAAAAGGGGGAAAAAAATACTCCAGTGTGGTAGCAGATGCCTTTAATCTTAGGAGGCAGAGGCAGATCTCTGAGGTCAAGGCCAGCCTGGTCTATATAAGCAAGTTCCAGGACAGCCAGGGCTACACAGTGAGATCTTGTCTCAAAAAAAAAAAAAGCCCCCCAAAACAAAAATCCCCAATAACAACAAACCAGATGTTAAAGCAAGATACTAAGGTACTAGTCAAAGGCAGAGAAAGCCAGAGCTGCAAGAACACCACACAGAAGAAATTACAGAAACAGCTGGCCTCCAGGCAAAAGCAGACACAAGGAATTCAGTGTGTAGGTAACTGTGTGTTTTCCCCAGTTAATGCCTAGCCGTCTCCTGCTTGCAAAATTAAAATAGGTACTTAGAATTGAACACCCACTTTTCCTGAGTACCCACTTATTCAAGATGTGCCCAGCCGCTTGGAGGATATAAAGAAATCACCCCCCACCCCCACCCAGTCTTCCAAGTAGTAGCGAAACTGGATTTGAAACAAGGAGTGGGGTGGGGGGTATGTCTGAGCCACAGCACAGAGCTGTGTGGCTGTCACTCACACACGCATCCGGGAGTGCTGACGGTTTGGTCAGCCTGGTAGCCGTCTTCCATGTGGTTGTACGCCAGCAGCCTCACGTGGTATTTTCTTCTGGGGTCTAGAAAGGAAACCAGCAACACTTACTCAGACCAGCTTTCCCTCCGGCCATGGGCAGAGGCCGGGACATGGGCAGGCTTGGCATGAGCCTTTCCAAACATACGACAGTTCTCAGAACAGTGAACCTTTCTTTTCCCTATCCACTCACTTCCTGTGACACCACCACCCCGACTACTAGTTATCCTTAAGTTAACACATTTAACCCAATTTCAAACCGCCACAGGCGCTCCTCTTGAAATGACCAAATTTTCATTAAAATGTTTTGTCTTTACTTTTATTATAAATTACATTTTATTCCTTCATTTTGCATGTTCGTGTGTCCACGCCACCATCCCCAGGTGGCGGCGAGAGGACCACTTTGAGTCCGTTTTTCCCTTCCACTCTGAGAGTTCTGGAAATCGGCTTCATCAGACTTGGTGGGAAGCAACTTCACCCACTGAGGCATCTCACTGGCCTTAGTTATTCATGTTTTTAAGGATAGAGTCTTGCCCAGGCTGTCTTCAAATTCATTATGTACCCCACACACACACATAGTCCAGGCTGGCTTGGAATTCTACCCCCTCCTGACTCAGCCTCCCCTCCATGATGGATCCCCAAAGGTTATTTTATACAGACGCGTTTTGCTGAGGCAATTAAACTCAAGAGTAGTGTTTTCTCCCTCTGAGTTAGGGAGAATTAGTACAAATACCTTCCAGTAGACTCTCTGAGTATTCTAAGTGAGTCTCTTTCAAGAAAACTCCATTTTCAAGCCTTTATATAAACCAAGCGAGGTGAGCTGGAGCGCCCTCTACTGGTGTCTGTTAACTATCACAACATTAAAACGAAACCCATCCATAAAGTTTTTTTCAATGTACATGAATATTTATCTAAATCATTTTTCCTTAATCAAATAAAACACATTCTCATTCATAGCACAGTTGAGGAATTCATAGTTGTCCTAAGGGCACATACACATATTAAAAAATAATAAAACAACTCTTAAAATAACTCCATAGTGAATTCATTTAAAACTTGAAAAATAAACACATTTGTGAAATTCTCCAAAGTAATTTTTAAGATTTTTACATATCTACTTTAGAAGTTGATAAATAAATTTTAATATAAAGTATTAAATATATTTTAAAAGTGTCCTGGGCAGGCAAAAAGGCCCAGTGGGTGAGGGTACCTGCTGCCAAGTCTAACTACCTGACTTCAATACCCAGGATCCCCACAGAAGGACAGAAAACACCGTCTCAAAACACAAAATGTCTCTGTGAGTTCGAGGCCAGTCTGATCTACACAGGGAGTTCCAGGACAGCCAGAACTACATAGAAAGACTTTGTCTCAAGAAATCAGGCCAGCCGGGCGGTGGTGGCGGCGCATGCCTTTAATCCCAGCACTCGGGAGGCAGAGGCAGGTGGATCTCTGTGAGTTCGAGGCCAGCCTGGTCTACAGAGTGAGTTCCAGGACAGGCACCAAAACAACACAGAAAAACCCTATCTTAAAAAACAAACAAAAAGTTTCCATTTTTCTTTCCAATCCTTCCATCGAATCTATCAATCAAGTGAACTCCAGGCTCCGCCCTGCAGATACGCTGTGTTGCTACTCATGGAATGTGGTGCTAGGTCCCCATGAATTCAGAGTGCAATGTTGGCACATTTTTCTGCACTCAGTTAGAGGCTGGGTCTTTGGGAACGTCTGCTGATGGTAAAATGCCGTGCCAGGGATGGGGAGACACAGAAAGGGGAAGACGAGACAGACTTGTCCCAGAGCTCAACATGGTACAGCCCTTCTCAGAGAACACTGACTGAGGAGGGCTCTTAGAACGAGTGGAGAGCTCATTTCTCTGTTCTCTAGGATGGTGTGTGTGTGTGTGTGTGTGTGTGTGTGTGTGTGTGTGTGTGTGTGTGTACACATTCAAGTGTGCAGGTGATGTGCACAAACATGTGTCTGCATGTAGTCATATGGTTAGTGGTTGACACTGGGTGTCTTCCTGAGTTACCTCTCCATGTGAATCTTTGAGGCAGGGTCTCTCACGGAACCTAGAGCTTACTGAGTCAGCTAGGATGGCTGGCCGGCGAGCTTCAGGGATCCACTTGAATTAGTCCACTCCTGGCTTCTGTGTGGGTGTTGGGGTCCCAACTCAGGTCATCGTACTTGCATGGTAAACATTTTACCAACTGAGCCTCGTGGCACATTCCTGTAACCCCAGCGCCAGGAAGGCAGACACAGGATCCCTGAGGTTTGCTGCTCAGCCAGTCTACCCACACTGTGAATTCCAGGTTCAGCAAGAGACCCTGTCTCAAAACACAAAGTGGAAAGCAATAGAGGAACAGCCTCTGGCCACACACACACACACACACACACACACACACACACACACACACACCTGAAATTTATCAGTTGAAGAGGAAAACATAAAGCTTCATCATTAATAGAAGGAAGGGTACAAACTAATCAATTGAGCACAGAGAACTAACATTCGAAACAAGACGCAAAATCACAGAGACTAAACTGGACAAAACATAAAAGTTCTAACCCTGAGTTCTGCAGTCTCCCCACTCAGGTGGCAGAGCAGAGAATGGGGTCCACACGAGAACGCTGCTTGGAAAGGGTCCTCAGGCTGTCCCAGCCAGGCTGGAGTTAAGTACTGCCATACTCACAGTGTGTGGTCTCAAGACGCTCAGTAAACTTAGGTGATGTGGTCTGAAGGAAAACAGCAGAGCAAGGGAAGCAGCCCCAGAGGGCAGTGTGGGCCTTCTCAGGAAGGGAGAAGAGGAGGCGGACAGAAAGAATGCCAGTTCCCCAAACCCATTCACCACTCAGGTCTCTTTATTGCCTTAATTTTATTTTGAGATGGGTCTCCTTATGTTGGTCAGGTGGGCCTCGCCATCCTATTACCTCAGTCTCCCAAGCAGCTGCAATTACAGGCATGAGTCACCATAACGGTGCAAAGAGGTAACATTTGAACTTTGGGTTAAATGTGCTTTAAAGGGGTCTGGAGCGATGGCTCCCTGGTTAAGCATGCTTCCTGCTCTTGCAGAGAAGTTCAGTTCCTAGCACCCACATCAGGTGGCTCATAACCACCTTTCTATAACTTCAGCCCTGCCTGATGGGGTAGTGCATACCTTCAGTCCCAGCACTAGGGAGGCAGAGGATCTCTTGAGTTTGAAGCCATCCCGGTCTACAAAGCAAGTTTCAGGACAGCCAAGGCTACACAGAGAAACCCTGTCTCAGAAAGAAAACAAACAAACACAAACAAATAAACCTTCCAGCTCCTCCATGGGATCTGACACCCTCTTCTGGCCTCCATAGGTACCTGAACACTTATATATGGCATACACTCACACAGACACACACAAAAGGAAAAATAAAATTAAATACCCTTTAAAAAATGCTTTAAAAGTTGGAAATGTATAAAAATATTGGGTCAAGGGTGAAAAGCTTAAATGATTCGATTTAATATAAATTTAATCTTAAATGGTTTTAATTAAAAAAAAGGTGTGCGTGCCCCAGCACGCTTTCATGTGCGTGTGCACGTGTACACCACAAAAATGCACGTGGAGGCCCGAGAACAACTTTGTGGGATTAGTGCTGTCCACCTCTGTGGGACTCTGGAGCTCGAACTCTGGTCTCCAGAGTTGGACAGCAAGCACCTTTGAGCCATGTTGCTGGCCCCTAAATGTTTTGGTTAATAACAATTCAGCGCTGGAGTACCAGCTTGCATGAAGGTGGCTGTGGTCTGCAGCCAAATGAATGTGCCTCCTCTTCTCTAAGGAGTCAACTTCTAGTCCAAAAGGTAGGTCCTGGCACACTGCTGAGGTAGAGCCAGTGTCTTCCCTCTGCTGGCTCTGGGACTGGCCTTCCTTCCTGATTCATTCTCTCCCACAAGCTCATCGAGTAGGACTACTAGTCACACGAGGCCCAGTGAGGACCATGAGTCTGGCCAGCTGACCAAGAAAAGACTCCCAGGTGTCAGGTGAACATTTACAGTGTCTATCGAAAGTCAGGGGTTGTCTGAGACTCAAGGATTAAAAAAACAACAATACACAATTCTTGCTCTTACTTTGATTTTTTTTTTTAAATCATATGTACGTGTGTGTCTCTGTGTGTGTATGTCAGGTGCCCTTGGAAGCCCGAAGGAGTAGCAGTTCTCCCAGAACTAGAGTTACATGCATTTGTGAGCCTCCTGATGCGGTTGTTTGGAACCAAACTTGAGTTCTCTGGAAGCATAGTAAGCACTTTTTCAAGCCCTAAGTAATTTTCCCAGCCCCTGCTTTTCCTTAAAACATTTGTGTTACATCTTACTTTTTATTTTGTGTGCACACGTGTGTATATGTGTACGGGTGCACACATGCTGTGGAGAGCAGGCGACCAAGAGCAGCAGTTCTCTTCTACCACGTGTGTCCCAGGGATCAAACTCAGGTTGTTAGCTTTCCCATCAGGTGCCTTCAACCACGGAGCCATCTTGCTAGCCTCTGCTTTTACTCCGAATGCACCAAAGGAGATACTAATAAAAACCCTCTGCTGGGTGTGGTGGTGCACGCTTTCAATCTTAGTGCTCGGGAGTCAGAGGCAGGTGGATCTTTGTGAGCTCGAGAGCCTGGTCTACACAGCGCAGTCCAGGCCAGCCAGGGCCATACAGTGAGACCTTGTCTCAAAACAAAACGAAACGTCCATTCTTTATGTGTCACTTTCTAACTATATCGATCTAAGCAAGTTCCTCTTCTTCTAAACCTTGTTTGCACGTGGAAGCCAGAGACGCAAGGGGACCTCATCCATAGGGATTTTAAGAGTGTTAAGTAAAATTAGCCTAACAGGCATTCTGCACTGTCCCAGGGCTGGTAAAACACCCAAGCCTGCTGGGCGGTGGTGGCGCTCGCCTTTAATCCCAGCACTTGAGAGGCAGAGGCAGGCGGATCTTTGTGAGTTCGAGGCCAGCCTGGTCTACAGAGCGAGATCCAGGAAAGGTGCTATACAGAGAAACCCTGTCTCGAAAAACAAAAACAAAACAAAACAAAA